TTTAATTAGTGGTATTTTTGTAAATATATAACCTATAGTGGCAATTTTAAAAATGGACACACCAAAAATGATATTTTTGCAATTATCCCAAATTATTATGAGTTTTTGGACAAAAACTTGTTTTTTGTAAGGTTTTCTGCTAGATAAAAAAAAATAAACCAATTTTTGTTAATTTATTTTGTACATTCGGTTACTAAAAAATTACTTATTTTATTTTAAATTTAATTTTTACTAAAAAAATTAAACCTGTTAATTCTTGAGACACGGGATTGGACCCCGAACCGTCGCACCACGTGTCCATCCACCTAAACCGGCCCTGGTTACAGACCCTATATATCGAATTTGAAACTTTACGTTGTCAATCAAGTTTTTTGGCGCATAAATATTTTTTAACTAAGTAATCTAGACGAATTCGACTAATTTTGAGATGAGCAAAACAACCAAAATATTTTATGCTACGGATTTTTAACTGGATTTTCGACCTTATTCAGACTGAACACACATGTTTTTGTTTACAATGGGATACGAACTCGAGAGATATGAAGTTTACGCTTGGTTAAACTCATAATTTAATTCGATCACTATATTACTTTTATGTTTTATCAGCTCTAATATTATTCATGTGTATTTTCTTTCTGGTAATAAACAAATTCTTGTACATCGAGCTTGTTATTTTAGAACTTGTGTTCTGCGACGTCGATTATTATATTATAGCAGATATAGTGATCGAATGAAATTATCGTATTCGATCGAGTTCATTATAGTTTGAAAATCAGTTAGTACAAACTAATAAGGAGATTGTTTGACAATTTCTCTTATACGGAGATGGAGAAGATAAAGACGACCAATGTTATCGAATACCAATGAAATTAAAATAAATAATTTAAATATTAACGAGACGTAAGTGCTACTTATATTAATACGCTGACCAACTTTACTTGCTGATGAAAGAAAATATATATCGTCTCCAAAAGTAGCAAAGTTAGTTAAGTTTAAACAAATCAAATGAACTTGATCAAGCTTACTTTTGATAACTTCATTGATAAACCCTTTTTTACTTTCTTTTTGACTGATTAAGCCATCTACTTTTCTGACAAACTTTTCTAGAATTTCTATTACGTGGAAGCTTAGTGGCAAAATCGATGATGGTATGAACAAAGAGAAACATAATGCACATAGGGATAATAAGAATATTCGCACGGCTACAATAGGTACAATTCGGAAATTTTTAAAAAAAATTATTTTATACTTTTCAATGAAGAAACAATAATCTCTATAATACTCATAACAAATGAATTACAAAATAAAATGTGATAAGAATTGATCCATTCAAGTAGTTCCATTTTTTTATAACCTGTGAGTTTTCTGTTTATCAATTAATGTAATGAACTTGATCATTATATAAATACCACATCACTCTTATATTCTTGTACTTTAAATGGGAAAATGAATAATTTTAGTTAAGTTTTTATTACCGAATGATATATATATA